AAAAGAGAAATTTTCCAGGGAAAATTCAAATTTTTGAGGGTTCTCGGGGGGAAAAAATGAAGAATTTTTAAGGGAAAAATCCATGATTTTAGAGCAAAAAATTCCCATTATTGGAAGGGGGAAACGCTGGGTTTGGGGAGAAAAATCCACTTTTTTGGAGGAAAAGACACCTTTGTAGAGAGAAATCAGCAATTTTGGAGGGGATATTCGCATTTAGAGAGGAAAATCCACATTTTAAAAAAGAAAATTGTCGGTTTTGGAGGGAAAAAACCCATTCCAGACAAAAAACCAATTTAATTTATCCTCACTTTAAAATACTTTCATTTAAAATACGCTTATTTAAAATATCTTCATTTTAGAGCAAAATCTACAAATTTTGAGAGAAAACCAACATGTTTAGGAGAAATATCCACTTTTTTTGAGGAGAAAACTGAAATTTTTAGGGGAAAAATCAAAACCATCAGAGGAAAAAAATCCCTATTTTGCGGAAAATCAGTGTTTTTGCAGGGGAAAATGGGAATTTTTTGGGGGCAAAATAGAGATTTTTGGGCATGCCAAGAAGTGTTTGGGGAGGAAAGATTAATTTCAGAGAGAATCCGATTAATTTTATGGGAATAGAGAGAATTTAACAGGTAAAAGGGACATTTTAGGGGAGATACTGGAATTTCAGAGGGAAATCACAGGTTTGGGGGGAAAAATGACATTTTTCCCTTGGAAAAGGTAATTTTTGGAGGGAAAATTAATTTTGGAGAGGGAAATATTCTTTTTTTTTTTTTTTTTGCTGGAATAAAAAGAGGTTTGGGGTGGAATCAGGAATTTCCAGGGGAAAGGAGCAATTTTGGGGCAAAACAGGCATTTTTGGGCAAACAATTTGGGTGAAAGTTGTGTTGTTTTGAGGAAAAATAAAAAAAATACGTCAACATTTATAAAATGTACAATTGTATACAGAGAGAAAAATTAAAAATCAGATCTTAGCGAGGATGGAGAAACTCTGAGATGGAAAAAAATCCAATTTATGGCAGAAACTGAGGAGACTCAGGGTGGAAAAAGTCACATTTTGGGGGCAGAAATGTTCATTTCGGGGCCAAATTCGTAATTTTGTGGGGTTTTGAGAGGGGGGGAAAAAAGGCATTGGAGGGGCAAAAATTGAAAATTCCCAGGGGGTCAATGAATCCTGGGGAAAATACTCAGCTGGGACGGGGAAAAATGGGGAATTTTCAGGGGAAAATGGGGAATTTGTTTTGGAAAATGGGGAATTTGGGGGGGAGAAAATTCACCATTATGAGGGGAAATGGGGAATTTTAGGGGGCAAATGGAAATTTTGAGGGGAAATGGGGAATTTTAGGGGGAATTTGGGAATTTTTTTGGGGGGAAACGGCTCCACTAAAAGACCCATTTGTGCCCCCCCCACCCAATTTTTGGAGAAAAAAATTCCCAATTTTGGGCTCAAAATTCCCCTTTTTTGAGACAAATCTCCTCATTTTGGATCCAACCCCCGACTTTTTGAGGCAAACCGGCCCCTTTTGAGGGCCAAATTCCCCCTTTGGAGACCAAACCCCACCTTCTATAACCAAATTCCCCTTTTTGGTGTAAAACTCCCCTTTTTGGGTTAAATTCCCCCATTTTTGAGGCCACCCCTCCGTTATGGCCAAATTGTCACTTTTAGGAGCCAAATCTCCCTTTATAGAGAATAACCACACACCCTTTTTGCTGCTAAAATTCCATATTTTTAGGCTAAATTCCATATTTTTAGGGTCAAATTCCCTAATTTTGGAGCCAAATTCCCCATATTTAGTGTCAAACCCCCTTTTTGACATCCAAACTCCTTTTTTTAAAATTCAAATTTCCCCTTTTTGGGACCAAACTCTCCCTTTGGTCACAACCCTTCCACTTTCCGGACCATTTTTCCGGTTTTGGGTCAAATCCCCCCATTTTTTAGACCCCAACCCGCACTTTTTGGAGCGACCCCACCCTTTTTGGGGGGCCCAAATTCACTTTTCCAGGTGCCAACCCCACCCTTTTTGGGACCAAAACTCTCCCTTTTTGGGGCCAAACCCTTCCCCTTTTCTGGGTCCATCTCCCCTCCTCCCTCAGCCCCCTCAATCCGGTCCCATTTTGGGTTAAAATTCCCAATTTTGGGTTCCCCCCCTCCCTCCCCCGATCCCGCCGGTACCTGAGGGGGGGCGCGGGGGTGGGGCCGGCGCGCGCTGCCCTGGCCACGCCCCCTCGCGCGCGCTGCCGCAGGGGGCGTGGCGACGCATGGGCGTGACCAATGAAAGGGCGTGGTTTGTGGCAAAGGGGCGTGGGCTCCCCGTCCGCTTGGGGGCGTGGTTCTGCTGTCAAATGGGCGTGGCTTTTGTGAAGGGCGTGGCTTTGTGGCTCCTCCCCCCGGTACGCCCAAACCCAAAGGCGCGACCACCCAGATCCACCCGGATTTAGAAGAAAAATTAAAATATCAGAGGAAAAAAACATAGTTTTGGTAGGAAACTGATATTTTGTGGGGAAAATGAGAATTTCTGGGGCAAAATCCCATACTTTCAGTGGAAAATCAGTATTTCTGTAGGGAAAATAGGAATTTTTGGGGCTGAGACCCTCCGGATTTAAAGGAAAAATCAGAAATAATAGAGGGAAAAATCCATAGTTATAGTGGAAAATCAATATTTTTGCAGGGAAGTGGGAATTTTGGGGCTGAGACTGTCTGGATTTGTAGGAAAAATCAAAAATCCGAATTTAAAATCCATATTTTTAGCTGGAAATGAGTATTTTTATAGGGAAAATGGGGATTTTGGGGGAAAATAGAGGGGTTTGGCCAAGCTGAAAAGTGTTTGGGAGGAAAGAATCATTTCAGGGAGAATCTGATCATTTAAGGGGATATAGACAATTTTGCCAGGAAAAAGGGACATTTTTAGGGGAGACATTGGAATTTTGGAAGCCATGAGGGGTGGAAATGGTGTCTGTGAGGGGAAAATGGGGGAAATGTGGCCCGTGAGGGGAAAATGGAGGGAAATTGAGCCTTTGAGGGGAAATTTGGGGAGAATTGAGCCCGTGAGGGGAAATTTGGGGAGAATTGAGCCTGTGAGGGGAAAATGAGGGGGATATGGAGCCCATGAGAGGAAAATGGGGGGAAATGGTGTCTTTGAGGGGGAAATGGAGCCTGTGAGGGGAAAATGGAGCTTTTGAGGAGAAAAAATGGGGACGAAATTGAACTTTTGAGGGGAAACTGGGGGAAATGAGGCCTGTGAGGGAAAAAACAGAGCCTGTGAGGGGAAAATGGGGGGAAATGGAGCCTGTGAGGGGAAAATGGGGGGAAATGGAGCCCTTGGTGGCAAAATGGGGGGAAAATGAAGCTCCTGAATGGAAAATGGGGCCTGTGAGGGGAACATGAGGGAAAATGGAGCCCATGAGGAGAAATGGAGCCGGTGAGGGGGAAATGCGGAGGAAACGAAGCCCTTGAGGGGGAAATGGAGCCTGTGAGGGAAAAATAGAGCCTGTGAGGGGAAAATTGGGGGGAAATGGAGCCTTTGAGGGGGAAATGGAGCCTGTGAGGGGGAAAATGGGGGGAAATGGAGCCCTTGGTGGCAAAATGGGGGGAAAATGGAGCTCCTGAATGGAAAATGGGGCCTGTGAGGGGAACATGAGGGAAAATGGAGCCCATGAGGAGAAATGGAGCCTGTGAGGGGGAAATGCGGAGGAAACGAAGCCCTTGAGGGGGAAATGGAGCCTGTGAGGGAAAAATAGAGCCTGTGAGGGGAAAATTGGGGGGAAATGGAGCCTTTGAGGGGGAAATGGAGCCTGTGAGGGGAAATGGGGGGAAATGGAGCCCTGGGTAGCAAAATGGGGGAAAATGAAGCTCCTGAATGGAAAATGGGGCCTGTGACGGGAACATGAGGGAAAATGGAGCCCATGAGGGGAAAATGGGGGGAAATGGAGCCTTTGAGGGGGAAATGGAGCCTGTGAAGGAAAATGGAGCTTTTGAGGAGAAAATGGGGACGAAATTGAACTTTTGAGGGGAAACTGGGGGAAATGGAGCCTGTGAGGGGAAGAAGCTATGCACCCAGTGAGTTTTGTCTTGTTTTTTCCTCTATTCAGCACTAAACAGCTGCTTAACCAAACAGTAGCTATTCTGTTATATAAAAAGTGCTTCATATCCAGGTTATGTAGGTATCACGATTCAGGCTATATAGGTAAAAAAATGCAATTCAGGTTTATAGGTAGCAGGTCTTACAAATACATGAAAAATTTTGATTTGGTTTATATTGATATTAGATTATATAGGTACAGGAGGTTATACCAATATCTTAAAACACGAAGCATGTAAGTATCTTGTAGCTTTAATGTAAGCAATATAGCTATCAATAGAAAACAAATTTGTGAAAAAATATGTACTTAGACGATGTGCGGTTGTCATAAATTATTGTTTATTATTCCAAGTTACTTTATAGTTTTGGCATCACAGAACCGTTCTGACTGGAAAAAACCTCGAGCGGTAAATCTTGTCCCGAGGTTTTTTGTCTGGGTCACCGACAAACCCGATTTTTACCGAAAATCTCCAAATTTGCGGCGCCCTTTGCCCCCATGGCGTCCCCCGTTCCCATGGCGACGGGGCGGCCCAATCCACTCTTCCCCCCTGCTCCCCCAGACTTGGTACGTTCCATGCAAATGAGCCCGCTGGCGCCACCAACCCCGCGTTCAAACCGGCGGCCAATAAGAAGTGAGAAGGCGGGTTACAGTGAAGATTGACAGCAACTATAGCCTATCGCAAGCGAGGTGCCATAAAACCGCCGCTGGAAACCGCCGGCCTATCAGAGGCGAGGAGGCGGTGTTAAGGCGAAGATTGACAGCGCCCTGAGCCAATCGCGAGGCGCAGCGCTCCGTCTCTCAGCGGCTGCCTCAGTCGCCGCTTTCCCGCCCTCCGGCCGCGGCCCCGGCCCGAGCCCCTCTTAGAGGCCCCGGGACCCCCTCAGACCCCCGGGACCCTCCCGGGCCGCCCCGGCCCCACCATGGGCTTCCTGAAACTCATCGAGATCGAGAACTTCAAGTCGTACAAGGGCGCCAGATCATCGGCCCTTCCGCCGCTTCACCGCCATCATCGGCCCCAATGGCTCCGGTGAGTCCCGGGGGGGCTCTCGGGGGTAGGGAGGGGGTCAAGGCCGCTCCCCGTCACGGTCTGAGGGGTGACCCCGAATTCTTTCCACCGCTCCCTCTTCTTCCTCCCGCCCTGCCCGGGGGTTCCCCGTTCCCTGAGGTCCCTCCTAAGTCTTGGGGTCCCCAATAATTCTGCACAGCCCTTCCTTGTCCCCCCTCCCTTCACTCTCTGGGGTCCCCCCTCTCCTCCCTCCTCTTCCCCTGGGGTTCCCTCATATTCCATGGGGTCCCTCTTAAGCCTTGGGGTCCCCCCTCAGCTCTTCCCCTCCATTCCCTGGACTCCCCCCTCACCTCCTCCCTCTTGCCTTGGGGTCCCCCCTCCATTCCCAGGGTTTCCTCCAAGCCCCCCATTCCCTGGGGTCCCCCCCATTCCCAAGGCTCCCCCCATTCCCTGCTGTCCCCCCTCTTTCCCAGGACTCCCCCCTCAATTCCCAGGGCTCCCTCCAAACCTTCCATTCCCTGGGGTCCCTCTTTAATTCCCTTGGTTCCCCCATTCCCTGGCCCCCCCCCCCTCAATTCCTTCAGTTCCCCCAATCCCCTGGGGTCCCTCCTCAATTCCTTCTGTTCCCCCCTCATTCCCAAGGCTCCCCCCAAATCCCTGGGGTCTCCCCTCAATTCCTTGGATTCCCCCATTCCCTGGGTTCTCCCCTCAATTCCTTGGATTCCCCCCATTCCTTGGGGTCTCCCCTCAATTCCTTCAGTTCCCCCCAATCCCTGGGGTCCCCCCTCAATTCCTTCAGTTCCCCCCAATCCCTGGGGTCCCCCCTCAATTCCTTCAGTTCCCCCCAATCCCTGGGGTCCCCCCTCAATTCCTTCAGTTCCCCCCAATCCCTGGGGTCCCCCCTCAATTCCTTCAGTTCCCCCCCACTCCCTGGGGTCTCTCCTCAATTCCTTCTGTTCCCCCCTCATTCCAAGGCTCCCCCCCAATCCCTGGGGTCTCCCCTCAATTCCTTGGATCCCCCCAAATCCCTGGGGTCTCCCCTCAATTCCTTGGATCCCCCCAAATCCCTGGGCTCTCCCCTCAATTCCTTGGATTCCCCCCATTCCCTGGTTCTCCCCTCAATTCCTTGGATTCCCCCCATTCCATGGGGTCCCCCCTCAATTCCTTGGATCCCCCCAAATCCCTGGGGTCTCCCCTCAATTCCTTCAGTTCCCTCCCAATCCCTGGGGTCTCCCCTCAATTCCTTGGATTCCCCCATTCCCTGAGGTCTCCCCTCAATTCCTTCAGTTCCCCCCTCATTCCCAAGGCTCCCCCCAATCCCTGGGTCCCCCCTCAATTCCTTCAGTTCCCTCTCAATTCCTGGGGTCTCCCCTCAATTCCTTCAGTTCCCCCCATTCCCTGGGGTCTGCCCTCAATTCCTTCAGTTCCCTCTCAATTCCTGGGGTCTCCCCTCAATTCCTTCAGTTCCCCCCAATCCCTGGGGTCCCCCCTCAATTCCTTTGGCTTCCCCCCAGTCCCTGGGGTCTCCCCTCAATTCCTTGGATTCCCCCATTCCCTGGGGTCTCCCCTCAATTCCTTGGATCCCCCCATTCCCTGGGGTCCCCCTTCAATTCCTTCAGCTCCTCCCATTCCCTGGGGTCCCCCCTCAATTCCCTGGGGTCTCCCCTCAATTCCTTCAGCTCCCCCCAATCCCTGGGGTCCCCCCCTCCATCCCCACCCCCCATAACCCGCCCCCCAAAACGCCCCGCAGGTAAATCCAACCTGATGGACGCCATCAGTTTCGTGCTGGGGGAGAAGACGAGCAACCTGCGGGTGAAGACGCTGCGGGATTTGATCCACGGCGCCCCCGTGGGGAAGCCCGCGGCCAGCCGGGCCTTTGTCAGCATGGTGTACTCGGAGGAGGGCGCCGAGGACCGCACCTTCGCCCGCGTCATCGTCGGTCAGCGCCGCTCTGCGCCTCTGGCCGAAATTCCCGGCATTTTGGGGCGTCTTGGGGCTGTTTCGGGGCGTCTTGGGGCTGTTTTGGGGCTTTTAGAGGCTGTTTTAGGGGATTTTTGGGGCTGTTTTAGGGGTGTTTTGGGGCTGTTTTAAGGGTGTTTCTGGTTTTTTTTTGGGGCTGTTTTAGAGCTGTTTCCCGGGGAATTTGGGGCTGTTTTAGGAGTGTTTCTGGGCTTTTTGGGGCTGTTTTAGGGGTGTTTCCCGGGGATTTTGGGGCTGTTTTAGGGGCTTTTTGGGGCTGTTTTAGGGGGGTTTCAGGGCTTTTTGGGGCTGTTTTAGGGGTGTTTCGGGGCTTTTTGGGGCTGTTTTAGGGATGTTTTGGGGTTTTTGGGGCTCTTTTAGGGCTGTTTTAGGGGCTTTTTGGGGCTGTTTTAGGGGTGTTTCCCGGGGCTTCTTGGGGCTGTTTTGGGGCTGTTTTAGGGGCGTTTCTGGGGCTTTTGGGGCTGTTTTAGGGCTGTTCCCCGGGGGTTTCAGGGCTGTTTTAGGGGCGTTTCTGGGCTTTTAGGGCTGTTTTAGAGGTGTTTGGGGGCTGTTTTAGGGGTGTTTCTGGGTTTCTGGGATTTTTGGGGCTGTTTTGGGGCTGTTTCTGGGCTTTTTGGGGGCTGTTTTAGGGGCTTTTTGGGTCTGTTTTAGGGCTGTTTCTGGGTTTTTGGGGCTGTTTTAGGGGTGTTTCCCGGGGGTTTTGGGGCTGTTTTAGGGGCTTTTTGGGGCTGTTTTAGAGGGGTTTCAGGGCTTTTTGGGGCTGTTTTAGGGATGTTTGGGGGCTTTTTGGGGCTGTTTTAGGGGTTTTTTGAGGCTGTTTTGGGGGCTTTTTGGGGCTGTTTTAGAGGGGTTTCAGGGCTTTTTGGGGCTGTTTTAGGGATGTTTGGGGGCTTTTTGGGGATGTTTTAGGGGCGTTTCGAGGCTTTTTGGGGCTGTTTTAGGGCTGTTTCGAGGCTTTTGGGGGCTGTTTGGGGGCTTTTTGGGGCTGTTTTAGGGGTGTTTTGGGCCTGTTTTAGGGTTTTTTTGGAGCTGTTTGAGGGGTGTTTCTGGGCTTTTTGGGGCTGTTTTTGGGCTGTTTCTGGGCTTTTTGGAGCTGTTTTAGGGGTTTTTGGGGGCTGTTTTAGGGCTGTTTCCCGGGGGCTGTTTGGGGCTGTTTTAGGGCTGTTTCTGTTTTTTTGGTGGCTGTTTTAGGGGTGTTTCAGGGCTTTTTGGGGCTGTTTTAGGGGTTTTTGGGGCTGTTTTGGGGCTGTTTCCCGGGGCTTTTTGGGGCTGTTTTAGGGGTTTTTTGAGGCTGTTTTGGGGCTTTTTGGGTCTGTTTCAGGGGTGTTTCTGGGCTTTTTGGGGCTGTTTTAGGGGGTTTTTGGGGCTGTTTTAGGGGTGTTTCTGGGGTTTTTGTGGCTGTTTTAGGGCTGTTTCTGGGCTTTTTGGGGCTGTTTTGGGGCTTTTTGGGTCTGTTTTAGGGGTGTTTCGGGGCTTTTTGGGGCTGTTTTAGGGATGTTTCCCGGGGCTTTTAGGGGCTGTTTTGGGGCTTTTAGGGGCTGTTTTAGGGGTGTTTCCTGGAGCTTTTTGGGGCTGTTTTAGGGCTGTTTTGGGGCTCTTTTAGGGCTGTTTCTGGGCTTTTTGGGGTTGTTTTAGGGGCGTTTCTGGGTGTTTTGGGGCTGTTTTAGGGTTTTTTTGCAGCTGTTTTAGGGCTGTTTCCCAGGGATTTTGGGGCTGTTTTTGGGCTGTTTCTGGGCTTTTTGGGGCTGTTTTAGGGGCGTTTCTGGGCTTTTTGGGGCTGTTTTAGGGTTTTTTTTGGGGCTGTTTTAGGCGCGTTTCTGGGCTTTTTGGAGCTGTTTCAGGGGCGTTTCCCGGGGGTTTGGGGGCACATTTTGGGGTGTTTAGGATTTGGGGACACATTTTGGGGTGTTTAGGATTTGGGGACCCCCCTGACCCCCCAAATCCCCCCTATCCCAGGCAGCTCCTCCGAGTACAAGATCAACAATCGGGTGGTGCAGCTGAGCGAGTACAGCGAGGAGCTGGAGAAGCTGGGGATCCTCATCAAGGCCAGGAACTTCCTTGTCTTCCAGGTGAGGAGGGGATTTAGGAGCCATTTTGGGGTTTTTTGGGGGTGATTTGGGGGTTTTGAGGGGGTTTTGGGGGGGCTTTGTGTAGGATCAGGGGGATTTTGGGCCTTTTTGGGGAGGTTTTTGTGCTCACGGGCATTGGGGGCTCCCAGGATGGTTTTTTGGGGGGATTTCCCTCATTCTCCCACCCCAAAGGGATCCCCCAGGCCCCCATAAGGATTTGGGGACCTCCTGAGAGGATTTAGGAACCCCCTGGCCCCCTTTCCCAGGGTTCCATGAAGAATCCACAGAAGCTCCTGGGGCTGTTTGGGATCAGCTGCTCCTGGGACACCCCTGAGGGGATTTGGGATCTCCCCAATCCCCCACTGCCCTGAGGGGATTTAGGAACCCCTTGAGGGAATTTAGGAACCTCCTGAGGGGATTTAGGAACCCCCTGGCCCCTTTTCCCAGGGTTCCCTGAAGGACCCACAGGAGCTCCTGGGGCTGTTTGGGATCGGCTGCTCCTGGGACACCCCTGAGGGGATTTGGGATCTCCCCAATCCTGCACCCCCCTGAGGGGATTTAGGAACCCCTGAGGGGATTTAGGAAGCCCCTGAGGTGATTTAGGAACCCCTGAGGGGATTTAGGAACCCCCTGCCCCTTTCCCAGGGTTCCATGAAGGACCCACAGGAGCTCCTGGGGCTGTTTGGGATCAGCCACTCCTGGGACACCCCTGAGGGGATTTGGGATCTCCCCAATCCCCCACTGCCCTGAGGGGATTTAGGTACCCCCTTGAGGTGATTTAGGAACCCCTGAGGGGATTTAGGAACCCCCTGCCCCTTTCCCAGCGTTCCATGAAGGATCCACAGGAACTCCTGGGGCTGTTTGGGATCGGCTGCTCCTGGATCTGCCCTTCTCCCACCCCCGGCAGGATTTGAGGATTTAGGAACTCTCTTGTCAGGAATTGGGGATTTAGGGACTCTCCAGTCAGGAATTGGGGATTTGGGGACCCTCCTGTGAGGATTTGGGCACCACCTGTGGGATTTAGGAGCTCTCTGACTCAATTTTTCCATGGCATCGCCATGAAGAGACCCAAAGAGGGCACGGCCCTGTTTGAGGAGATCCCCAGGGATTTAGGGACCCCTGACCCTGCAGGGATTCAGGGACCATTCTCAGGGATTTGGGAACATTTCTGACAGGATTTAGGAACATTTCTGACAGGATTTAGGAACATTTCTGACAGGATTTAGGACCGTTTCTGCAGGGAGCAGTGGAGTCCATCGCCATGAAGAACCCCAAGGAGCGCAGGGCTCTCTTTGAGGAGATCCCCAGGGATTCAGGGATTCCCTTTTGGAATTCAGGGATCCCTCACAGGAATTTATGGATTTAGGATCATTTCCCAGGGATTTAGGACCATTTCTAACAGGATTTGACCATTTCTCACCCCATTTTTCAGGGAGCAGTGGAGTCCATCGCCATGAAGAGCCCCAAGGAGCGCAGGGCCCTGTTTGAGGAGATCCCTGGGGATTCAGGGATTCCCTTTTAGGATTTAGGGATTTAGGATCATTTCTCAGGGATTTAGGACCATTTCTCAGGGATTTAGGACCATTTCTCACCCCGTTTTTCAGGGAGCAGTGGAGTCCATCGCCATGAAGAGCCCCAAGGAGCGCAGGGCCCTGTTTGAGGAGATCTCCAGGGATTCAGGGATTCCTTTTTAGGATTTAGGGATTTAGGACCATTTCTAACAGGATTTAGGACCATTTCTAACAGGATTTAGGACCATTTCTGGCCCATTTTGCAGGGAGCAGTGGAGTCCATCACCATGAAGAACCCCAAGGAGCGCAGGGCCCTGTTTGAGGAGATCCCCAGGGATTCAGGGATTCCCTTTTAGGATTTAGGGATTCAGGGATTCCCTTTTAGGATTTAGGAATTTCCCTGACACTGCAGGGATTTAGGACCATTTCTAACAGGATTTAGGACCTTTTTTGATACCATTTTTCAGGGAGCAGTGGAGTCCATCGCCATGAAGAACCCCAAGGAGCGCACAGCTCTCTTTGAGGAGATTTCCCGCTCAGGGGAGCTCGCCCCCGAGTACGACAAGCGCAAGAAGGAGATGGTGAAGGCCGAGGAGGACACGCAGTTCAATTATCACCGCAAGAAAAACATCGCGGCCGAGCGCAAGGAGGCCAAGCAGGAGAAGGAGGAGGTGGAGACGCCGGGAGTTCGGGGAAAAAAAATGGGGTTGGGAATGCTCAGGGACAGGAGAAAAATGGGGTTGGGAATGCTCAGGGAAAGGAGAAAAATGGGGTTGGGAATGCTTGGAATTGTGGGAAAGGCTGGGTTTGAGCAGCTCCTGAGCAAAACCAGGCCCAAGTTCTGGGTTTGAGCAGCTCCTGAGCAAAGCCAGGCCCAAGTTCTGGGTGTGGGCAGCTTCTGAGCAGAGCCAGGCCCAAGTTCTGGGTTTGAGCAGCTCCTGAGCAAAGCAGGCCCAAGTTCTGGGTTTGAGCAGCTCCTAGGCAGAGCCAGGCCCAAAGCCCAGCTCTGAGCAGCTCCTGGGCAAAGCCAGGCCCAAACCCCAGCTTTGAGCAGCTCCTGAGCAGAACCAGGTCCAAGTCCTGGGTTTGAGCAGCTCCTGGCCAGACCCAGACCTGTCCCACCCCTAATCCCAGCTTTGAGCAGCTTCTGAGCAGAGCAGGCCCAAGTCTCAGCTTTGAACAGCTTCTGAGCAGAACCAGGCCCAAGTCCTGGGTTTGAGCAGCTCCTAGGCAGAACCAGGCCTATCCCAACCCAAACCCCAGCTCTGAGCAGCTCCTGAGCAGGGCCAGGCCCAAGTCCTGGGTTTGAGCAGCTCCTGAGCAGAACCAGTCCCAGTTTTGAGAAGCTCCTGACCAGACCCAGGCCCAGGCCTAGCTTTGAGCAGCTCCTGAGCAGAACCAGGCCCAGCTTTGAGCAGCTCCTGACCAGAATCAGGTCCAAGTCCTGGTTTGAGCAGCTCCTGGCCAGACCCAGGCCTTATCCCACCCCTAATGCCAGCTCTGAGCAGCTCCTGGCCAGCCCCAGGCCTATCCCAGCCCTAATCCCAGCTCTGAGCAGCTCCTGGCCAGACCCAGGCCTATCCCAGCCCTAATCCCAGCTCTGAGCAGCTCCTGGCCAGACCCAGGCCTAGGCCCAGCTCTGAGCAGCTCCTGGCCAGACCCAGGCCTATCCCAGCCCTAATCCCAGCTCTGAGCAGCTTCTGGCCAGACCCAGGCCCAGGCCCAGCTTTGAGCAGCTCCTGGCCAGACCCAGGTCCAAGTCCTGGGTTTGAGCAGCTCCTGAGCAGAACCAGGCCCAGGCCCAGCTCTGAGCAGCTCCTGGCCAGCCCCAGCCCTATCCCAGCCCTAATCCCAGCTCTGAGCAGTTCCTGGCCAGACCCAGGCCTGTCCCAGCCCTAATCCCAGCTTTGAGCAGCTCCTGAGCAGAACCAGGCCCAAGTTTGAGCAGCTCCTGGCTAGAACCAGGCCTAGACCCAAGTTTGAGCAGCTCCTGGCCAGACCCAGGCCCAAGTTTGAGCAGCTCCTGAGCAGAACCAGGTCCAAGTCCTGGGTTTTGAGCAGCTCCTGGCCAGACCCAGGCCTGTCCCACCCCTAATCCCAGCTTTGAGCAGCTCCTGAGCAGCACCAGACCTGGCCCAGCTTTGAGCAGCTCCTGAGCAGAACCAGGTCCAAGTCCTGGGTTTGAGCAGCTCCTGGCCAGACCCAGAACCAGGCCCAGCTTTGAGCAGCTCCTGGCCAGACCCAGGCCTGTCCCAGCCCTAATCCCAGCTTTGAGCAGCTCCTGGCCAGACCCAGCCCTAATCCCAGCTCTGAGCAGCTCCTGGCCAGACCCAGGCCCAGGCCCAAGTTTGAGCAGCTCCTGGCCAGACCCAGGCCTGTCCCACCCCTAATCCCAGCTCTGAGCAGCTCCTGGCTAGCCCCAGGCCTAGGCCCAGCTTTGAGCAGCTCCTGGCCAGCCCCAGGCCTATCCCACCCCTAATCCCAGCTCTGGGCAGCTCCTGGCCAGAACCAGGTCCAAGTCCTGGGTTTGAGCATCTCCTGAGCAGAACCAGGCCTAGGCCAGCCCAAAGCCCAGCTCTGAGCAGCTCCTGAGCAGAACCAGGTCCAAGTCCTGGGTTTGAGCAGCTTCTGGCCAGACCCAGGCCCAGGCCCAAGTTTGAGCAGCTCCTGAGCAGAACCAGGTCCAGGTCCTGGGTTTGAGCAGCTCCTGGCCAGACCCAGGCCTATCCCAGCCCTAATCCCAGGTCTGAGCAGCTCCTGGCCAGCCCCAGGCCTATCCAGCCCTAATCCCAGCCCTATCCCAGGCCTATCCCAGGCCTATCCCAGCCCTAATCCCAGCCCTAATCCCAGCCTTGAGCAGCTCCTGACCAGACCCAGGCCTATCCCAGCTCTGAGCAGCTCCTGGCTCGAACCAGGCCCAGGCCCAGCTCTGAGCAGCTCCTGGCCAGACCCAGGCCTATCCCAGCCCTATCCCAGCCCTAATCCCAGCTCTGAGCAGCTCCTGGCCAGCCCCAGCCCTATCCCAGCCCTAATCCCAGCCCTAATCCCAGCCCTATCCCAGGCCTATCCCAGCCCTATCCCAGCCCTAATCCCAGCCCTAATCCCAGCCCTAATCCCAGCCCTATCCCAGCCCTAATCCCAGCCCTAATCCCAGCCCTAATCCCAGCCCTAATCCCAGCCCTAATCCCTGCCCTAATCCCAGCCCTAATCCCAGCCCTATCCCAGCCCTAATCCCTGCCCTAATCCCAGCCCTAATCCCAGCCCTAATCCCAGCCCTAATCCCAGCCCTAATCCCAGCCCTATCCCAGCCCTATCCCAGCCCTAATCCCAGCCCTAATCCCAGCCCTATCCCAGCCCTATCCCAGCCCTATCCCAGCCCTATCCCAGCCCTAATCCCTGCCCTAATCCCAGCCCTATCCCAGCCCTATCCCAGCCCTAATCCCAGCCCTAATCCCTGCCCTAATCCCAGCCCTAATCCCAGCCCTATCCCAGGCCTATCCCAGCCCTAATCCCTGCCCTAATCCCTGCCCTAATCCCTGCCCTAATCCCAGCCCTAATCCCAGCCCTATCCCAGCCCTATCCCAGCCCTAATCCCAGCCCTAATCCCAGCCCTATCCCAGCCCTAATCCCAGCCCTAATCCCAGCCCTAATCCCCGCTGTCCCCCCAGGCTGACCGGTACCAGCGGCTCAAGGACGAGGTGGTTCGGGCGCAGGTGCAGCTGCAGCTCTTCAAACTCTTCCACAACGAGGCCGAGATCGAGAAGCTCAACAAGGAGCTGGGGCTGAAGAACCGCGAGATCGACAAGGACAAGAAGAGGATGGACAGGGTGGAGGACGAGCTCAAGGACCGCAAGAAGGAGCTGGGCAAGATGATGAGGGAGCAGCAGCAGATTGAGAAGGAGATCAAGTGAGCAGCCTGGGGTTGGGGCAGTGGAAATGGCAAATTTGGAGTTATTTGGGTTGGGAGGTTTAAAAATCTGGTGGAAATTCTGGTTCTGTGGGTAGGGATAACTTCATAGAGCAGGGGGTTCCAAATCTTGGATAATCCCAGTTTTCCAAATCTTGGCTGAGGGGCTCCAAAACCTTGGAAATATTTGGGTTGGGATGTTAAAAACCAGGTGGAAATTCTGGTTCTGTGGGTAGGGATAACTTCAGAGATCAGGGGGTTCCAAGTCTTGGACAATCCCAGTTTGCCCAGCCTGGTTCTGTGGCTGACGGGCTCCAAAACCCTGGAATGGTTTTGGGTGGGAAAATGTGGATTTATTTGGGTTGGGATATTTAAAAACCAGGTTTTAAATCCAGGTTCCATGGGCAAGGAAACTTCACAGACCAGGGGGTTCCAAATCTTGGATAATCCCAGTTTTGTAATCTTGGATAATTCCAGTTTTGTAATCTTGGACAATCCCAGTTTGCCCAGCCTGGTTCTGTGGCTGAGGACTCCAAAACCCTGGAATGGTTTGGGTGGGAAAATGTGGATTTATTTGGGTTGGGATGTTTAAAAACCAGGTTTAAATCCAGGGTTCCATGGGCAAGGAAACTTCACAGACCAGGGGGTTCCAAATCTTGGATAATCCCAGTTTTCCAAATCTTGGATAATCCCAGTTTTGTCTCTGTGGCTGAGGGGCTCCAAAACCTTGGAAATATTTGGGTTGGGATATTTAAAAATCAGGTGGAAATTCTGGTTCTGTGGGCAGGGACAACTTCAGAGATCAGGGGGCTCCAAGTCTTGGACAATCCCAGTTTGCCCAGCCTGAGTTCTGTGGCTGAGGGGCTCCAAAACCCTGGAATGGTTTTGGGTAGAAAATGTGGATTTATTTGGGTTGAGATGTTTAAAAATCAGGTGGGAAATTCTGGTTCTGTGGGTAGGGACAACTTCAGAGATCAGGGGGTTCCAAATCTTGGGCAATTCCAGTTTTGTAATCTTGGATAATCCCAGTTTGCCCAGCCTGGTTCTGTGGCAGAGAGGCTCCAAAACCCTGGAAATATTTGGGTTGGGATATTTAAAAACCGGGTGGAAATTCTGGTTCTGTGGGCAGGGACAACTTCAGAGATCAGGGGGTTCCAAATCTTGGACAACTCCAGTTTTGTAATCTTGGATAATTCCAGTTTTTCAAATCTTGGACAATTCCAGTTTCCAAATCTTGGATAATCCCAGTTTGTCTCTGTGGCTGAGGGGCTCCAAAACCCTGGAAATATTTGGGTTGGGATATTTAAAAATTCAGGTGGAAATTCTGATTCTGTGGGCAGGGACAACTTCATAGATCAGGGGGTTCCAAGTCTTGGATAATCCCAGTTTGTCTCTGTGGCTGAGGGGCTCCAAAACCCTGGAATGGTTTGGGTAGGAAAACGTGGATTTATTTGGTGTTGGGATATTTAAAAACCAGGTTGAAATTCTGGTTCATAGGCAGGGACAACTTCATAGAGCAGGGGGTTCCAAATCATGGACAATTCCAGTTTTGTAATCTTGGACAATTCCATCTTTCCAAATCTTGGACATTCCCAGTCTGTCTCTGTGGCTGAGGGTCTCCAAAACCCTGGAATTCTTTGGGTTGGAATTTTAAAAACCAGGTTGAAGTTCCCATCCAGGTTCTGTGGGCAGGGAACCTTCAAACCTTCCTGACCAGGTGGTTCCAACTCTCATCCCACCCCAGCTGGACAATCCCAGTTTGCCCAGTCTGTCTCCAGAGGGGAGGGGCTCCAAAACTGGAAGGGAAGGATGCACCAAACCCCAAAACTGGGCACAGACCCCAAAACCAAGCACAGAAACCAAAACCAGGCCCAGACCCCAAACCAGTCCCAAACCTCCATACCAGACCCAAACCCCCCAAACCAGGCCCAGAACCCAAACCAGACCCAAACCCCCAAACCAGGCCCAGAACCCAAACCAGGCCCAGAACCCAAACCAGGCCCAAACCTCAAACCAGGCCCAAACTCCAAAACCAGATCCAAACCCCAAACCCAGACCAAACTGGTGCCAAACCCCAAACCAGACCCAGAACCCAAACATGACACAAACCCCAAAAATGAGGACAAACCCCAAAACCAAGCAACAGAAACCAAAACCCAGGCCCAAACCCCAAACCAGGCCCAGAACCCAAACCCGGCCCAAACCCCAAACCAGGCCCAGAACCCAAACCAGGCCTAGACCCCAAACCAGACCCAAACCAGGCCCAAAGCCCAAACCAGGCCCAGAACCCCAAACCAGGCCCAGAACCCAAACCAGGCCCAAACCAGTCCCAAAGCCAAAACCAGGCCCAAACCAGTGCCAAAACCCCAAACCAGGCCCAGACCTCAAACCAGACCCAAACCAGTCCCAAAGCCCAAACCAGGCCCAAACCCCAAACCCAGGCCCAAACCCCAAACCAGGCCCAGAACCCAAACCAGACCCAAACCCCAAACCAGACCCAAACCAGTCCCAAAGCCCAAACCAGTCCCAAAGCCCAAACCAGTCCCAGAACCCAAACCAGGCCCAAACCCCAAACCAGGCCCAAACCAGTGCCAAACCCCAAACCACCAAAGCCAGTGCCAAACCCCAAACCAGTCCCAGACCCCAAACCAGTCCCAGACCCCCAAACCAGACCCAAACCCAAACCAGGCCCAAACTCCAAAACCAGATCCAAACCCCAAACCCGGCCCAAACCGGTGCCAAACCCCAAACCAGGCCCAGAATCCAAACCAGGCCCAGAATCAAACCAGGCCAAACCCCAAACCCAGGCCCAGAACCCAAACATGGACACAAACCCCAAAAATGAGCACAAACCCCAAAACTGAGCGCAGAAACCAAAACCAGGCCCAAACCCCAGACCAGGCCCAGAACCCAAACCCGGCCCAAACCCCAAACCAGGCCCAGAACCCAAACCAGGCCCAGAACCCAAAACTAGGCCCCAAAAACCCAAAACCAGGCCCAGAACCCAAACCAGGCCAAACTCCAAAACCAGATCCAAGGTCCAAACCCGGCCCAAACCAGTGCCAAACCCAAACCAGTGCCAAACCCCAAACCACCAAAGCCAGGCCCAAAACCCCCAAACCAGGCCCAGAACCCAAACCAGGCCCAAACCCCAAACCAGACCCAAACCAGTCCCAAACCCCAAACCAGACCCAGACCCCAAACCAGTCCCAAACCCCAAACCAGACCCAAACCCCAAGCCAGGCCCAAACCCCAAACCAGGCCCAGAACCCAAACCAGGCCCAAACCCCAAACCAGACCCAAACCAGACCCAGACCCCAAACCAGACCCAGACCCCAAACCAGACCCAAAGCCCAAACCAGACCCAAAGCCCAAACCAGTCCCAAACCCCAAACCAGTCCCCAAACCCCAAGCCAGGCCCAGAACCCAAACCAGGCCCAGACCCCAAACCAGGCCCAAAACCCCAAACCAGTCCCAAACCCCAAACCAGTCCCAAACCCCAAGCCAGGCCCAGAACCCAAACCAGGCCCAGACCCCAAACCAGGCCCAAACCCCAAACCAGACCCAAACCAGACCCAGACCCCAAACCAGACCAGACCCCAAACCAGTCCAAAGCCCAAACCAGTCCCAGACCCCAGAGCCAGCTGAGCTTCTCGTGCCCAGGGAGAAGGACTCAGAGCTGAACCAGAAGCGGCCCCAGTACATCAAGGCCAAGGAGAACACGTCCCACAAGATCAAGAAGCTGGAGGCGGCCAGGAAGTCCCTGCAGAACGCCCAGAAGCAGTACAAGAAACGCAAGGCGGACATGGACGAGCTGGAGAAGGAGATGCTGAGCGTGGAGAAATCCAGGCAGGAGTTTGAGGAACGCATGGAGGAGGAGAGCCAGAGCCAGGGGAGAGACCTGACCCTGGAGGAGAACCGAACCAGGTGAGGTGGGACAGGTGGGGTTTGGGGGTTTGGGAGGGACCTGACCCTGGAGGAGAAGCAGGTGAGGTGGGACAGGTGGGGTTTGGGAGCTTGGGAGGGATGGAGGAGAAGCAGGTGTGGTGGGACAGGTGGGGTTTGGGGGTTTGGGAGGGATGGAGGAGAAGCAGGTGAGGTGGGACAGGTGGGGTTTGGGAGCTTGGGAGGGATGGAATAGAACCAGGTGTGGTGGGACAGGTGGGGTTTAGGAGCTTGGGATGGATGGAGGAGAAGAGGTGAGGAGAGACCTGACCCTGGAGGAGAACCAGGTGTGGTGGGACAGGTGGGGTTTAGGAGCTTGGGAGGGATGGATGGAGGACCAGGTGAGGTGGGACAGGTGGGGTTTGGGGGTTTGGGAGCTTGGGAGGGATGGAGGAGAGCCAGAGCCAGGGCAGGGACCTGACCCTGGAGCAGAACCAGGTGTGGTGGCACAGGAGGGTCCTGGGGATGGATGGATGGAGGAGAAGCAGGTGTGGTGGGACAGGTGGGGTTTAGCAGGACCTGGCCCTGGATCAGAACCAGGTGTGGTGGGACAGGTGGGGTTTGGAAGGGACCTGGGGATGGATTGATGGAATAGAACCAGGTGTGGTGGGACAGGTGGAGTTTGGGAGGGACCTGACCCTGGAGGAGAACCAGGTGTGGTGGCACAGGTGGGGTTTAGGAGGACCTAACCCTGGAGGAGAAGCAGGTGTGGTGGCACAGGTTGGGTTTGGGAGTGTGAGAGGGATGGAGGAGAAGGAGAGGAGAGGAGAGACCTGACCTTGGAGGAGAACCAGGTGTGGTGGGACAGGTGGGGTTTGGGAGGGACCTGGGGATGGATGGAAGGAACAGAACCAGGTGAGGTGGCACAGGTGGGGTTTGGGAGAACCTGGGGATGGATGGATGGAACAGAACCAGGTGAGGTGGCACAGGCTGGGTTTAGAGGCCCTGGAGATGGATTAATGGAACAGAACCAGGTGAGGTGACACAGGTGGGCTTTAGAGGCCCTGGCCCTGGAACAGAACCAGGTGAGGTGACACAGGTGGGGTATAGGAGAACATGGGGATGGATTAATGGAACAGAACCAGGTGAGGTGGCACAGGCCGGGTTTAGAGAACCTGGGGATGGATTAGAGGAACAGAACCAGGTGAGGTGGCACAGGCCGGGTGTAGAGGCCCTGACCCTGGAGCAGAACCAGGTGAGGTGGCACAGGCCGGGTTTAGAGGCCCTGGCCCTGGAACAGAACCAGGTGAGGTGGCACAGGCCAGGTTTAGAGGCCCTGGCCCTGGAGGAGAACCAGCTGAGGTGGCACAGGTGGGGTGTAGAGGCCCTGGGGATGGATGGAGCAGAACCAGGTGAGGTGGCACAGGCCGGGTTTAGAGGCCCTGGCCCTGGAGCAGAACCAGGTGAGGTGGCACAGGCTGGGTGTAGAGAACCTGGGGATGGATGGAACAGAACCAGGTGAGGTGGCACAGGTGGGGTTTAGAGGCCCTGGGGATGGATTAATGGAGCAGAACCAGGTGAGGTGGCACAGGTTGGGTTTAGAGGACCTGACCCTGGAGCAGAACCAGGTGAGGTGGCACAGGTGGGCTTTAGAGGCCCTGGCCCTGGTCTCCAGCAGGAGCTGTGACCCCCCCGTGTCCCCCAGGTGAAGAAGTACCACCGGCTGAAGGAGGAGGCCAGCAAGCGCGCGGCCACGCTGGCCCAGGAGCTCGAGAAGTTCAACCGCGACCAGAAAGCCGACCAGGACCGGCTGGACCTGGAGGAGAGGAAGAAGGTGGAGACCGAGGTGAGAGCCTAAAGTGTCCCCAGAGTGTCCCCAGAGTGTCCCCAGAGTGTCCCCTGAGCCTCCCTGAGCTCACCTGTCCCACCCCGTCCCCGTGTCCCCAGGCCAAGATCAAGCAGAAGCTGAGGGAGATCGAGGAGAACCAGAAACGCATCGAGAAGCTCGAGGAGTACATCGCCACCAGCAAGTGGGTGACTGTCCCCAGGGTGTCCCCAGGGTGTCCCCAGAGGGGTTGGAGTGTCCCCAAGGTGTCCCCAGAGGGGCTGGAGTGTCCCCAAGGGGTCCCCAGAGGGGTTGGAGTGTCCCCAAGGGGTCCCCAGAGGGTTGGAGTGTCCCCAGGGTGTCCCCAGAGGGGTTGGAGTGTGACCAAGGGGTCCCCAGAGGGGTTGGAGTGTCCCCACGGTGTCCCCAAGGTGTCCTCAGGGAGGCTAGAGTGTCCCCAAGGGGTCCCCAAAGGGGCTGGAGTGTCCCCAGGGGGGCTGGAGTGTCACCAAGGGGGGCTGAAGTGTCCCCAGGGTGTCCCCAGAGGGGTTGGAGTGTGACCAAGGGGTCCCCAGAGGGGTTGGAGTGTCCCCAGGGTGTCCCCAGGGGGGCTGGAGTGTCACCAGAGGGGCTGGAGTGTCCCCAAGGGGTCCCCAAAGGGGTCTGGAGTGTCTCCAGAGGGCTGCACTGTCCCCAAGGTGTTCCCAGAGGGGCTGCAGTGTCCCCAGGGTGTCCCCAGGGGGCTGGAGTGTCCCCGAGGTGTCACCAAGGTGTCCCCAGAGGGGGTTGGAGTGTCCCCAAGGGAGGCTGGAGTTTCCCCAGGGTGTCCCCAGAGGGGTTGGAGTGTCCCCAGAGGGGGCTGGAGTTTCCCCAGGGTGTCCACAGAAGGGTTGGAGTGTCACCAAGGGGTCTGGAGTGTCCCCAAGGTGTCCCCAGAGGGGTCTGCAGTGTCTCCAAGGTGTCACCAAGGGGGCTGGAGTGTCCCCAGGGTGTCCCCAGAGGGGCTGGAGTGTCCCCAGGGTGTTCCCGAGGTGTCCCCAAGGGGTCCCCAAAGGGGTCTGCAGTGTCCCCAAGGTGTCCCCAAGGTGTCCTCAGGGGGGGTTGGAGTGTCCCCAAAGGGTCCCCAAAGGGGTCTGGAGTGTCCCCAGGGGGGCTAGAGTGTCCCCAGAGGGGTTGGAGTGTCCCCAAGGTGTCCCTGAGGTGTCCCTGAGGTGTCCCCAAGGTGTCCTCAGGGGGGTTGGAGTTTCCCCAGGTCATCCCCAAGTCCCCATTCCTGTCAGAGGGTGGGGATCAGCTCTTTCTGACAGGACTGAGGGGGCTGATCCCACAACCCCCAAAATCCCCCAAACCCCCATTTCTCCCCTCTCTCACCCCCAAATCCCCCATTTCTCCCCCCAGGCAGTCCCTGGAGGAGCAGAAGCGCCTGGAGGGTGCGAGATCACTCCCCAAACCCCCTTTTCTCCCAATTTTTCACCCCCAAATCCCCAATTTTCACCTCCAATCCCCCCTTTCTCCCCCCAGGCAGTCCCTGGAGGAGCAGAAGCGCCTGGAGGGGGAGCTGACGGAGGAGGTGGAGCTGGCCAAGCGCCGCATTGACGAGATCAACAAGGAGCTGAACCAGGTGATGGAGCAGCTGGGGGACGCGCGCATCGACCGCCAGGAGAGCAGCCGGCAGCAGCGCAAGGCCGAGATCATGGACAGCATCAAACGCCTCTACCCCGGCTCCGTGGTGAGGGCAGTGCCCAGAGAGACCCCAAAACGGCCTGAAATGGACCCAAAAAGTGAACCCAAAATGGCCTGAAGTGTAGCCAAAAAGTGAGCCAAAAATAGCCTGAAGTGTAGCCAAAAAGTGAGCCAAAAATAGCCTGAAATGGACCCAAAAAGTGAACCCAAAATGGCCTGAAGTGTAGCCAAAAACTGACCCAAAATAGCCTGAAGTGTAGCCAAAAGTGACCCAAAATAGTCTGAAGTGTAGCCAAAAAGTGACCCAAAAATAGTCTGAAGTGTAGCCAAAAAGTGAGCCAAAATGGCCTGAAATGGACCCAAAAAGTGACCCAAAATAGCCTGAAATGGACCCAAAAAGTGACCCAAAATGGCCTGAAGTGTAGCCAAAAAGTGACCCAAAATGGCCTGAAATGTACCAAAAAGTGACCCCAAAATAGCCTGAAGTGTAGCCAAAAACTGACCCAAAAAATAGCCTGAAATGTACCCCAAAATAGCCTGAAATGTACCCCAAAAGCGAGCTAAAAATACCCTGAAATGTACCCCAAAAGTGACCCCAAAATAGCCTGAAATGGACCCAAAAAGTGACCCAAAAATAGCCTGAAGTGTAGCCAAAAAGTGACCCAAAAGCAGCCTGAAAGTACCCCAAGAGTGACCCCAAAATAGTACCCCCAAGAGTGACCCAAAAATAGCCTGAAAGTGCCCCAAAAGTGACCCAAAATAGCCTGAAATGGACCCAAAAAGTGAACCCAAAATGGCCTGAAGTGTAGCCAAAAAGTGACCCAAAAATAGCCTGAAGTGTACCCAAAAAATGACCCATAAACAGTCTGAAGTGTACCCAAAAAGTGACCCAAAAAATAGTCTGAAGTGTAGCCAAAAAGTGAGCTAAAAATACCCTGAAATGTACCCCTAAAAGTGACCCCCAAATAGCCTGAAATGTACCCCAAAAGTGACCCAAAATAGCCTGAAATGGACCCCAAAATAGCCTGAAATGTACCCCAAAAGCGAGCTAAAAATACCCTGAAATGTACCCCAAAAGTGACCCCAAAATAGCCTGAAATGTACCCAAAAACTGACCCAAAACCAGCCTGAAAGTACCCCAAGAGTGACCCCAAAATAGCCTGAAATGTACCCCAAAATAGCCTGAAATGTACCCCAAAAGTGACCCCAAAAATAGCCTGAAAGTACCCCAAGAGTGACCCCAAAATAGTACCCCCAAAAGTGACCCAAAATAGCCTGAAATGTACCCAAAAACTGACCCAGAACACCCTCAGAAAATGACCAAAAACTGACCCAAAATACCCCAAAAACTGACCCTGAACATACCAAAAACTGACCCAAAAATAGCCTGAAATGTACCCCAAAAGTGACCCCAAAATAGCCTGAAGTGTACCCAAAAACAGCCTGAAAGTACCCCAAGAGTGACCCCAAAAATAGCCTGAAGTGTAGCCAAAAACTGACCCAAAAAATAGCCTGAAATGTACCCCAAAATAGCCTCAAATGTACCCCAAAACTGACCCAAAATAGCCTGAAATGGACCCAAAAAGTGACCCAAAATGGCCTGAAGTGTAGCCAAAAAGTGACCCAAAAATAGTCTGAAGTGTAGCCAAAAAGTGACCCAAAAATAGCCTGAAAGTGTAACCCAAAAACTGACCCAAAACCAGCCTGAAAGTACCCCAAGAGTGACCCAAAAATAGCCTGAAAGTGTACCCCAAAACTGACCCAAAACCAGCCTGAAAGTACCCCCAAAAGTGACCCCAAAATAGTACCCCCAAAAGTGACACAGAATGCACTCAGAAAACGACCAAAACTGGCCTAAAATACCCCAAAAACCGACCCAAAACACACCAAAAAACTGACCCTGAACGCACCAAAAACTGACCCAAAAATAGCCTGAAGTGTACCCAAAAGTGTCCCCAAAATACCCTGAAATGTACCCCAAAACTGACCCAAAAATAGCCTGAAAGTACCCCAAGAGTGACCCCAAAAATAGCCTGAAATGTACCCCAAAACTGACCCCAAAATAGCCTGAAAGTACCCCAAAAGTGACCCAGAACACCCTCAGAAAATGACTAAAAACTGACCCAAAATAGCCTGAAAAACCAACCCAAAATACCCCAAAAACTGACCCTGAACATACCAAAAACTGACCCAAAAATACCCTGAAATGTACCCCAAAAGTGACCCCAAAATATCCCAAAAACCAGCCCAAAACACACCAAAAACTGACCAGAAACTGACCCAAAATACTCCCAGAGACTGCACCAAAAACTGACCCAAAACCCCCCAGAAACTGCCCCACACCTGACCCCATACCTGACCCTATAAAAACCCCATACCCGCAGTATGGCCGCCTGATTGACCTGTGCCAGCCCACGCAGAAGAGCCCAACCCCATTGCCAGTGTCCCTGCCCCATAACTGATATCCCTGCCCCATAACTGCTATCCCTGACCCCATACCTGCTGTGCCCCATGTCCCTGACCCCATACCCTATACCTGACCCCATAACTGACCCTATAAAAACCCCAAACCCCGCAGTATGGCCGCCTGATTGACCTGTGCCAGCCCACCCAGAAGAACCCAACCCCACTGCCAGTGTCCCTGCCCCATAACTGATATCCCTGACCCCATACCTGACATTGCCCCATATCCCTGACCCCATACCCCATACCTGACCCCATAACTGACATTCCCCCATATCCCTGACCCATAACTGATATCCCTGACCCCATAACTGACATTCCCCATATCCCTGACCCATAACTGATATTCCCCCATATCCCTGACCCCATACCTGCTATACCCCATATCCCTGACCCCATACCCTATACCTGACCCCATAACTGACCCTATACCCTCAGTATGGCCACCTGATTGACCTGTGCCAGCCCACACAGAAGAACCCAACCCCATTGCCAGTGTCCGTGCCCCATAACTGATATCCCTGCCCCATAACTGACATTGCCCCATATCCCTGCCCCATAACTGACATTGCCCCATATCCCTGACCCCATACCCCATACCTGACCCCATAACTGACCCCATAACTGACCCCATACCCGCAGTATGGCCGCCTGATTGACCTGTGCCAGCCCACGCAGAAGAACCCAACCCCATTGCCAGTGTCCCTGCCCCATAACTGCTATCCCTGACCCATACCTGCTATCCCTGACCCCATAACTGATATCCCTGACCCCATAACTGACATTCCCCCATATCCCTGACCCCATAACTGACATTGCCCCATATCCCTGACCCCATAACTGACATTGCCCCATATCCCTGACCCCATACCCCATAACTGACCCCGTAACTGACCCTAAATCCCTCAGTATGGCCGCCTGATTGACCTGTGCCAGCCTATGCAGAAGAACCCAACCCCATTGCCAGTGTCCCTGCCCCATAACTGACATTGCCCCATATCCCTGACCCCATAACGGACATTGCCCCATATCCCTGACCCCATAACTGACATTCCCCCATATCCCTGACCCCATACCCCATACCTGACCCCATAACTGACCCTATAAAAACCCCAAACCCCACAGTATGGCCGCCTGATTGACCTGTGCCAGCCCACGCAGAAGAACCCAACCCCATTGCCAGTGTCCCTGCCCCATAACTGATATCCCTGACCCCATACCTGACATTGCCCCATATCCCTGACCCCATACCCCATAACTGACCCTATAAAAACCCCAAACCCCGCAGTACGGCCGCCTCATTGACCTGTGCCAGCCCACACAGAAGAACCCAACCCCATTGCCAGTGTCCCTGCCCCATAACTGCTATCCCTGCCCCATAACTGACATTCCCCCATATCCCTGACCCCATAACTGACATTGCCCCATATCCCTGACCCCATACCCCATACCTGACCCCATAACTGACCCTATAACCCACAGTATGGCCGCCTGATTGACCTGTGCCAGCCCACCCAGAAGAACCCAACCCCATTGCCAGTGTCCCTGCCCCATAACTGCTATCCCTGACCCCATAACTGATATCCCTGACCCCATACCCCATACCTGACCCCATAACTGACCCTATAAAAACCCCAAACCCCGCAGTATGGCCGCCTGATTGACCTGTGCCAGCCCACGCAGAAGAACCCAACCCCATTGCCAGTGTCCCTGCCCCATAACTGATATCCCTGACCCCATAACTGCTATCCCTGACCCCATACCTGACATTGCCCCCATATCCCTGAGCCCATAACTGACATTCCCCCATATCCCTGACCCCATACCCTATACCTGACCCCATAACTGACCCTATAAAAACCCCAAACCCCACAGTATGGCCGCCTGATTGACCTGTGCCAGCCCACGCAGAAGAACCCAACCCCATTGCCAGTGTCCCTGCCCCATAACTGCTATCCCTGACGCCATAACTGCTATCCCTGCCCCATAACAGATATCCCTGACCCCATAACTGACATTGCCCCATATCCCTGACCCCATACCCCATAACTGACCCTATAAAAACCCCAAACCCCGCAGTATGGCCGCCTGATTGACCTGTGCCAGCCCACCCAGAAGAACCCAACCCCATTGCCAGTGTCCCTGCCCCATAACTGCTATCCCTGCCCCATAACTGCTATCCCTGACCCCATAACTGACATTGCCCCATATCCCTGAGCCCATAACTGACATTCCCCCATATCCCTGACCCCATACCCTATACCTGACCCCATAACTGACCCTATAAAAACCCCAAACCCCACAGTATGGCCGCCTGATTGACCTGTGCCAGCCCACGCAGAAGAACCCAACCCCATTGCCAGTGTCCCTGCCCCATAACTGCTATCCCTGACGCCATAACTGCTATCCCTGCCCCATAACAGATATCCCTGACCCCATAACTGACATTGCCCCATATCCCTGACCCCATACCCCATAACTGACCCTATAAAAACCCCAAACCCCGCAGTATGGCCGCCTGATTGACCTGTGCCAGCCCACCCAGAAGAAGTACCAGATTGCAGTGACCAAGGTGCTGGGGAAGAACATGGACGCCATCATCGTGGACTCGGAGAAGACGGGCAGGGACTGCATCCAGTACATCAAGGAGCAGCGCGGGGAGCCCGAGACCTTCCTGCCCCTGGACTACCTCGAGGTCAGGCCCCAAAAGGGCAGGAGAAACCCTAAAAGGGGTTTGGGGTCAGTGGAAATCCTATAACAGGATTTGGGGTCAGGAGAAACCCTAAAACGGCGTGTGGGTAACTGAGACCTTCCTGCCCCTCGACTGCCTCGAGGTCAGACCCCAAAAGGGCAGGAGAAACCCTAAAAGGGGTTTGGGGTCAGGAGAAATCCTATAACAGGGTTTGGGGTCAGTGAAAACCCTATAGCCAACTTCAGGGTCAGCAGAAACACTAAAAGGGCTTTGGGGTCTGCAGATCATTGAGACCTTCCTGCCCCTCGACTGCCTCGAGGTCAGGCCCCAAAAGGGCAGGAGAAACCCTAAAAGGGGTTTGGGGTCAGTGAAAACCCTATAACCAGCTTCAGGGTCAGCAGAAACCCTATAACAGGGTTTGGGGTCAGTGAAAACCCTATAGCCAGCTTCAGGGTCAGGAGAAACCCTAAAAGCAGCTTTGGGGCAGGAGATATCTTAGTGCAGGGTTTGGAGATGTTGAGACCTTCCTGATGCTTGACTGCCTCAAGGTCAGACCCCAAAAGGGCAGGAGAAAACCCTAAAAGGGGTTTGGGGTCAGGAGAAATCCTATAACAGGGTTTGGGGTCAGGGGAAACCCTATAACCAGCTTCAGGGTCAGGGGAAACTCTAAAAGCAGCTTTGGGGTCAGGAGAAACCCTAAAAGGAGGTTTGGGTAACTGAGACCTTCCTGCCCCTCGAGGTCAGACCCCAAAAGGGCAGGAGGAACCCTAAAATGGGGTTTGGGGTCAGGAGAAATCCTATAACCAGCTTCAGGGTCATTAAAAACCCTAAAACCAGCTTTGGGGTCAGGAGAAACCCTAAAAGGGGGTGTGGGTAACTGAGACCTTCCTGCCCCTGGACTACCTCGAGGTCAGGCCCCAAAAGGGCAGGAGAAACCCTAAAAGGGGTTTGGGGTGAGGAGAAACCCTAAAAGCAGCTTTGGGGTCAAATGGTGCCCATTTTGGGGTTTATAACTGCATGGTTTTGGGGTTCTGACCCAAATTTCTGATCCTGACCCCCATTTTGGGGTTTTTAACCTCCAATTTTGGGATTTAACCCGAATTTGAGCTCCTGACCCCACTTTTGGGGTTTTAACCCCCAATTTTGGGATTTTGACCCCAATTTCTGATCCTGACCCCCATTTTTGGGGTTTTTAACCCCCAATTTTTGGGATTTTGACGCCAATTTCTGATCCTGACCCCACTTTTGGGGTTTTTCACCCCGATTTTTGGGATTTCAGGTGAAACCCACAGATGAGAAGCTGTGGAGGGGATTTGGGTGCCCATTTTTGGGGTTTTTCACCCCCAATTTGGGATTTAACCTGAATTTGTGATCCTGACCCAATTTTTAGGGTTTTTCACCCCCAATTTTGGGGTTTTGACCCCAATTTCTGATCCTGACCCCATTTTTGAGGTTTTTCACCCCCGATTTTTGGGATTCTGACCCAAATTTCTGATCCTGACCCCAATTTTGGGCTTTTTCACCCCCGATTTTTGGGGTTTCAGGTGAAGCCCACGGACGAGAAGCTGCGGGAGCTGCGCGGGGCCAGGCTGGGTTTGGGGTTGGTTTGGGGCCCATTTTGGGATTTTTCACCCCCAATTTTTGGGGTTTCAGGTGAAACCCATGGATGAGAAGCTGTGGAGGGGATTTGGGTCCCCATTTTTGGGGTTTTCACCCCCGATTTTGGGATTTTGACCCCAATTTGAGCTCCTGACCCCATTTTTGGAGTTTTTCCCCCCCAATTTTGGGATTTGACCCCAATTTCTGATCCTGACCCCATTTTGAGGTTTTTCACCCCCAATTTTGGGATTTTGACCCCGATTTGAGCTCCTTACCCCACTTTTGGGGTTTTCACCCCCAATTTTTTGGGGTTTTAACCCCCGATTTTTGGGATTTTGACCCCGATTTGAGATCCTGACCCAATTTTTGGGGTTTTTTCCCCCCCGATTTTGGGATTTTGACCCTGATTTCTGATCCTGACCCCACTTTTGGGCTTTTTTCACCCCCGATTTTTGGGATTCAGGTGAAGCCCACGGACGAGAAGCTGCGGGAGCTGTGGGGTGGAGTTTAACCCAATTTTTAGGCTTTTTCCCCCCCGATTTTGGGATATTGACCCCGATTTGAGCTCCTGACCCCATTTTGGGGTTTTCACACCCCAATTTTGGGATTTTGACCCCAATTTCTGATCCTGACCCCATTTTTAGGCTTTTTAACCCCCAGTTTTGGGATTCTAACCCCAATTTGAGCTCCTGACTCCATTTTGAGGTTTTTCACCCCCAATTTTGGGATTTGACCCCGATTTGAGCTCCTTACCCCATTTTGAGGTTTTTCCCCCCCGATTTTTGGGATTTTGACCCCAATTTGAGCTCCTGACCCCATTTTTGGAGTTTTTTCCCCCCCAATTTTGGGATTTGACCCCAATTTCAGATCCTGACCCCACTTTTGGGCTTTTTCACCCCCGATTTTTGGGATTTTAACCCCGATTTCAGATCCTGACCCCCATTTTGGTGTTTTTCACCCCAATTTTGGGATTCAGGTGAAGCCCACGGACGAGAAGCTGCGGGAGCTGCGCGGGGCCAAGCTGGTGATCGATGTCATCCGTTACGAGCCCCCCCACATCAAGAAGGCGCTGCAGTTCGCCTGTGGCAACGCCCTGGTCTGCGACAACGTCGAGGACGCGCGCAGGATCGCCTTCGGAGGCCACCAGAGGCACAAGGTGCCCAAAACCACCCCAAAAATGGCCTAAAAATGGCCAAAATCGCCCCAAAAATAGCCTAAAAACAGCCCCCCAAAATACCACAAAAACGCCCTAAAAATATCCTAAAACCAGCTCAGAAGAGCCCCATGGCCTTCGGAGGACAGCAGAGGCACAAGGTGCCCCAAAATCACACCAAAAATGCCCTAAAAATATCCTAAAACCAGCTCAGAAGAGCCCCATGGCTTTCGGAGGACAGCAGAGGCACAAGGTGCCCCAAAAATGCCCTAAAAACGGCCAAAATCACCCCAAAAATACCCTAAAAACAGCCCCTCAATGTACCCTAAAAATGCCTGAAATCACCCCAAAATTACCCTAAAAATACCCTAAATATCACCCCCAAAATACCCCAAAAATGGCCAAAATCACCCCAAAAATACCCTAAATATCACCCCCAAAATACCATAAAAATGGCCAAAATCACCCCAAAACCAGTCCCAAACTGCCCCCCCAAAACTGACCTGAAAATACCCCAAAATCACCCCAAAAATGCCCTAAAATATCCTAAAACCAGTCCCAAATTGCCCCCCAAAACTGGCCTGAAAATACCCCAAAATCAGCCCAAAACCAACCTAAAAATATCCTAAAACCAGCTCACAACAGCCCCATGGCCTTCGGAGGCCACCAGAGGCACAAGGTGACCCAAAACCACCCCAAAAATGCCCTAAAAATACCTAAAACCAGCTCAGGACAGCCCCATGGCTTTCGGAGGACAGCAGAGGCACAAGGTGCCCAAAATCACCCCAAAAATGGCCTAAAAATACCCTAAAACCAGCTCAAAACAGCCCCAAAAACCAGCCCAAAACAGCCCCAAAATCACCTCAAAAAGGCTCTAAAAACCACCCCAGAAATGTCCTAAAATAGCCTGAAATCACCCCAAAAAATGGCCTGAAATGACACCAAAAATGCTCTAAAAAACAGCCTTAAATCACTCCAAAACCAGCCCCAAACTGCCCCCCAAAACTGACCTGAAATCACCCCAAAACTGCCCCAAACCAGCCCCAAAATCAGCCCAAAACCAACCTAAAAATACCCTAAAACCAGCTCAGAACAGCCCCATGGCCTTCGGAGGCCACCAGAGGCACAAGGTGCCCCAAAATCACCCCAAAAATGCCCTAAAAATATCCTAAAACTGCTCCAAAAACCACCCCAAAAATACCCTAAAAACCGTCTTGAAAATACCCCTGAAATACCCTAAAATAATCTCATCGCCTTTGGGGCCACCAGAGGCACAAGGTGCCCCAAAACCACCCCAAAAATGCCCTAAAAAACCACCCCAGAAATGCCCTAAAAAAGGCCAAAATCACCCCAAAAATACCCTAAAAACAGCCCCCCAAAATCAGCCTGAAAATGCCCTAAAAATATCCTAAAACCAGCTCAAAACAGCCCCATGGCCATCAGGGCCACCAGAGGCACAAGGTGCCCCAAATCACCCCAAAAATGCCCTAAAAACCACCCCCAAAAATGCCCTAAAAAAACACCCCAAAAATGCCTTAAAAATATCCTAAAACCAGCTCAGAACAGCCCCATGGTTTTCGGAGGCCACCAGAGGCACAAGGTGCCCCAAAACCACCCCAAAAATGGCCTAAAATCCACCCCAGAAATGCCCTAAAAACGGCCAAAATCACCCCAAAAATACCCTAAAAACAGCCCCCCAAAACCAGCCTGAAAATGCCCTAAAAATATCCTAAAACCAGCTCAAAACAGCCCCATGGCCTTCGGAGGCCACCAGAGGCACAAGGTGCCCCAAATCACCCCAAAAATGCCCTAAAAATATCCTAAAAACCAGCTCAAAACAGCCCCAAAAACCAACCCCCAAAACCACCCCAAAAATGCCCTAAAAATATCCTAAAACCAGCTCAAAACAGCCCCATGGCCATCAGGGCCACCAGAGGCACAAGGTGCCCCAAAACCACCCCAAAAATGCCCTAAAATCCACCCTCAAACCAGCCCAAAACAACCCCAAAAACCAGCCCAAAACAGCCCCAAAATCACCTCAAAAAGGCTCTAAAAACCGCCCCAGAAATGTCCTAAAATAGCCTGAAATCACCCCAAAAAATGGCCTGAAATGACACCAAAAATGCTCTAAAAAACAGCCTTAAATCACTCCAAAACCAGCCCCAAACTGCCCCCCAAAACTGACCTGAAATCACCCCAAAACTGCCCCAAACCAGCCCCAAAATCAGCCCAAAACCAACCTAAAAATATCCTAAAACCAGCTCAGAACAGCCCCATGGCCTTCGGAGGCCACCAGAGGCACAAGGTGCCCCAAAACCACCCCAAAAATGGCCTAAAATCCACCCCAGAAATGCCCTAAAAATGGCCTAAAATCACCCCAAAAATGCCCTAAAAACTGACCTGAAAATGCCCCAAAATCAGCCCAAAACCAACCTAAAAATATCCTAAAACCAGCTCAAAACAGCCCCATGGCCTTCGGAGGCCACCAGAGGCACAAGGTGCCCCAAAACCACCCCAAAAATGCCCTAAAAATATCCTAAAACTGCTCCAAAATCACCCCAAAAATGCCCTAAAAATACCCTAAAACCAGCTCAGAACAGCCCCATGGCTTTCGGAGGACAGCAGAGGCACAAGGTGCCCCAAAATCACCCCAAAAATGCCCTAAAAACCACCCCCCAATGTACCCTAAAAATGGCCAAAATCACCCCAAAAATACCCTAAAAACAGCCCCCCCAAAATACCCTAAAAATGGCCTAAAATCACCCCAAAACCAGTCCCAAACTGCCCCCCAAAAACTGACCTGAAAATACCCCCAAAATCACCCCAAAACCAACCTAAAAATATCCTAAAACCAGCTCAGAACAGCCCCATGGCCTTCAGAGGACAGCAGAGGCACAAGGTGCCCCAAAATCGCCCCAGAAATGCCCTAAAAACCACCCCAGAAATGCCCTAAAAACGGCCAAAATCACCCCAAAAATACCCTAAAAACCACCCCAGAAATGCCCTAAAAACCACCCCAGAAATGCCCTAAAAACCACCCCAGAAATGCCCTAAAAATGGCCTGAAATAACCCCAAAAATGCCCTAAAACCACCCCAGAAATGCCCTAAAAATGGCCCCAAAATCACCCCAAAACCAACCTAAAAATATCCTAAAACCAGCTCAAAACAGCCCCATGGTTTTCAGAGGCCACCAGAGGCACAAGGTGCCCCAAATCACACCAAAAATGCCCTAAAATCCACCCCAGAAATGCCCTAAAGTCAGCCCCCCAAAATACCATAAAAATGGCCTGAAATCACCCCAAAATTACCCCAAAAATACCCTAAAATCAGCCCCCCACAATACCATAAAAATGGCCAAAATCACCCCAAAAATACCCTAAATATCACCCCCAAAATACCCCAAAAATGGCCAAAATCACCCCAAAAATACCCTAAATATCACCCCCAAAATACCCTAAATATCACCCCAAAAATACCCTAAATATCACCCCCAAAATACCCCAAAAATGGCCAAAATCACCCCAAAAATACCCTAAAAACAGCCCCCCAAAACTGCCATCAAACCCCCCTGAAAGCACCCCAAAGCAGCCCCAATGTCCCCAGGGATGTCCCCAATGTCCTCTGAGTGTCCCCAGGGATGTCCCAGGAATGTCCCCAATGTGTCCCCAATGATGTCCCCTCAGATGGTGGCCCTGGACGGGGCCCTGTTCCAGGAGTCGGGGGTGTCCCAGTGATGTCCCCATGGGTGTCCCCAATGTCCCCAATGTGTCCCCAATGTCCCCACAGACGGTGGCCCTGGACGGGACCCTGTTCCAGCAGTCCATGGTGTCCCATGGGTGTCCCCAATGTCCCCAATGTGTCCCCAATGATGTCCCCACAGACGGTGGCCCTGGACGGGACCCCTGTTCCAGCAGTCGGGGGTGTCCCATGGGTGTCCCCAGTGATGTCCCCAATGTCCCCAATGTCCCTGTTGATGTCCCTCAGACGGTGGCCCTGGACGGGACCCTGCTCCAGCAGCCAGGGGTGTCCCTGTTGATGTCCCCAATGTCCCTGTTGGTGTCCCCAATGTGTCCCCAATGTCCCCACAGACGGTGGCCCTGGACGGGACCCTGTTCCAGAAGTCGGGGGTGTCCCAGTGATGTCCCCAATGTCCCCAATGTGTCCCCAATGATGTCCCCAATGTCCCCAGTGATGTCCCCAATGTGTCCCCACAGACGGTGGCCCTGGACGGGACCCTGTTCCAGAAGTCGGGGGTGTCCCATGGATGTCCCCAATGATGTCCCCAATGTCCCCAATGTCCCCAATGATGTCCCCAATGATGTCCCCAATGTCCCCAATGTGTCCCCAATGTCCCTCAGACAGTGGCCCTGGACGGGACCCTGTTCCAGAAGTCGGGGGTGTCCCATGGGTGTCCCATGGGTGTCCCCAATGTCCCCAATGATGTCCCCATGTCCCCACAGATGGTGGCCCTGGACAGGACCCTGTTCCAGAAGTCGGGGGTGTCCCATGGGTGTCCCATGGGTGTCCCATGGGTGTCCCCAATGTCCCCAATGATGTCCCCATGTCCCCCCAGACGGTGGCCCTGGACGGGACCCTGTTCCAGAAGTCGGGGGTGTCCCTGGGTGTCCCCAATGTCCCCAATGTCCCCAATGTGTCCCCAATGTGTCCCCAGTGTCCCCAATGTGTCCCCACAGACGGTGGCCCTGGACGGGACCCTGTTCCAGAAGTCGGGGGTGTCCCATGGGTGTCCCCAATGTCCCCAATGTCCCCAATGATGTCCCCATGTCCCCTCAGACGGTGGCCCTGGACGGGACCCTGTTCCAGCAGTCCATGGTGTCCCAGGGGTGTCCCAGTGATGTCCCCAATGTCCCCAATGATGTCCCCATGTCCCCACAGACGGTGGCCCTGGACGGGACCCTGTTCCAGAAGTCGGGGGTGTCCCATGGGTGTCCCCAATGTCCCCAATGTCCCCAATGTCCCCAATGTGTCCCCAATGTCCCCACAGACGGTGGCCCTGGACGGGACCCTGTTCCAGAAGTCGGGGGTGATCTCGGGCGGTGCCAGTGACCTCAAGGCCAAGGCGCGGCGCTGGGACGAGAAGGCCGTGGACAAACTCAAGGAGAAGAAGGAGAGGCTGACAGAGGAGCTCAAGGTTGGACCCCAAAACCCCAAAACTGACCCTAAAACTGAGCCTGAAACCCAAAACTGGGCCTAAAAACCCCAAAATCCCCAAACTGACCCTAAAACTGAGCCTGAAACCCAAAACTGGGCCTAAAAAACCCCAAAGGAACCCCAAAGGAACCCCAAAACCCCCAAACTGACCCCAAGCAAACTCAAGGAGAAGAAGGAGAGGCTGACAGAGGAGCTCAAGGTTGGACCCCAGAACCCCAAAACTGACCCCAAAACTGAGCCTGAAACCCAAAACTGGGCCTAAAAACCCCAAAGGAACCCCAAAAACCCCAAAAACCCCAAACTGACCCTAAAACTGAGCCTGAAACCCAAACCTGGGCCTAAAAACCCCAAAAACCCCAAAAACCCCAAACTGACCCTAAAACTGAGCCTAAAACCCAAAACTGGGCCTAAAAAACCCCAGAGGAACCCCAAAAACCCCAAACTGACCCTAAAACTGAGCCTAAACCCCAAACCTGAGCCTAAATACCCCAAAGGAACCCCAAAAACCCCAAACTGACCCCAAGCAAGCTCAAGGAGAAGAAGGAGAGGCTGAGTGAGGAGCTCAAGGTTGAACCCAAAACCGACCCCAAAAACCCAAAACTGACCCCAAAACTGACCCCAAAAACCCAAAACTGACCCCAAAACTGAGCCTGAAACCCAAACCTGAGCCTAAAGAACCAAACCTGAGCCTAAAAACCCCAAAGGAGCCCTAAAAACCCCAAACTGACCCCAAAATCCCCAAACTGACCCCAACCAAACTCAAGGAGAGGAAGGAGAGGCTGAGTGAGGAGCTCAAGGTGGGACCCCAAAATTGACCCCAAAAACCCAAAACTGACCCCAAAACTGACCCCAAAAACCCAAAACTGGGCCTAAAAACCCAAACCTGAGCCTAAAAACCCCAATGGAACCCCAAAAACCCCAAACTGACCCCAAGCAAGCTCAAGGAGAAGAAGGAGAGGCTGAGTGAGGAGCTCAAGGTGGGACCCCCAAAACCAACCCCAAAAACCCAAAACTGACCCCAAAACTGACCCCAAAAACCCAAAACTGACCCTAAAACTGACCCCAAAAACCCAAAACTGGGCCTAAAAACCCTAAAAACCCCCAGAGGAACCCAAAATCCCCAAACTGACCCCAACCAAACTCAAGGAGAGGAAGGAGAGGCTGAGTGAGGAGCTCAAGGTGGGACCCCAAAATTGACCCCAAAAACCCAAAACTGACCCCAAACTGAGCCTAAAACCCAAAACTGGGCCTAAAAACCCAAACCTGAGCCTAAAAAACCCAAAGGAGCCCCCAAAAACCCAAAACTGACCCCAAGCAAACTCAAGGAGAAGAAGGAGGGGTTGAGTGAGGAGCTCAAGGTTGGACCCCAAAACTGACCCCAAAACCCCAAAACCTGACCCTAAAACTGAGCCTAAAACCCAAACCTGACCCTAGAACCCCAAACCTGACCCCAAAAGGGACCCTGAATTTTCCCAATTCCCCATTTTTTCCCAAATTCCCGTGGTTTTCTCCCAATTCCAGGAGCAGATGGAGCCTCAGCTGTGCCCCCTCCTCACCCCCAAATTCCCTTTTTATCCCCCAGATTTTCCCCCCAAAATTCCCATTTTCCCCCATTTCTTTCTCCATTTTCCCCCAATTTCTTTTTTCCCCATTTTCCCCCCATTTTTTCCCTTTCTTTCCCTGTTTTTTCTCCATTTTCCCCATTTTTTCCTTGTTTTTTTCTCCCGTTTTTTCCTTGTTTTTTTTTTTCCCATTTTCCCCAATTTTTCCCCCATTTTTTCCCCACTTCTTTCCCTAATTTTCCCCTGAAAATTCCCATTTTTCCCCCAGATTTTTCCCATTTTTCCTCCATTTTTCCCCCCTTTTCCCCCCATTTTCCCCCATTTCTTTCCCCTTTTTTCCCCATTTCCCCCCATTTCTTTCCCCATTTCCCCCATTTTTTCCTTGTTTTTTCCCCATTTTTTCCTTGTTTTTTCTCCCATTGTCCCCCATTTCTTCCCCCCTTTTCCCCATTTCTTCCCCCATTTTTCCCCATTTTCCCCCATTTCTTTCCCCAAATTTCCCATTTTTCCCCCAGATTTTTCCCATTTTCCCCCCATTTTTTCCCCCTTTTTTACCCCATTTCTCCCCCCCTTTTTTCCCCATTTCCCCCCATTTCTTTCCTCAAATTTCCATTTTTCCCCCAGATTTTCCCCCAGATTTTCCCCTCCATTTTTTCCCCCATTTCTTTCCCCAAATTTCCCATTTTTCCCCCAGATTTTTCCCGTTTTTTCCTCCATTTTTCCCCTTTTTTCCTCCATTTTCCCCCCTTTTTTCCCCCATTTCTCCCCCCCTTTTTCCCCCATTTTCCCCCCATTTCTTTCCCCAAATTTCCCATTTTTCCTCCATTTTTCCCCCTTTTTCCCCCATTTCTTCCCCCCTTTTTTCCCCATTTTCCCCCGTTTTTCCCCATTTCCCCCCCATTTCTTTCCCTTTGTTTCCCATTTTCCCCCCATTTCTTCCCCCATTTTTTCCCCATTTCTTTCCCTGGTTTTTCCCCCATTTTCCCCCATTTCTTCCCCCCATTTTCCCCATTTCTTCCCCCTTTTTCCCCATTCCCCCCCATTTCTTTCCCCACATATTTCCTAATTTTTTCCCCCAAATTTTCCCCATTTTTCTTCCATTTCTTTTCCCCCTTTTTTCCCCATTTTCCCCCATTTTTTCCCATTTTCCCCTGATTTTCCCCCATTTCTCCCCGGCTCCAGGAGCAGATGAAGGCCAAGCGCAAGGAGGCCGAGCTGCGCCAGGTGCAGTCCCAGGCCCACGGGCTCCAAATGCGCCTCAAATATTCCCAAAGTGACCTGGAACAGACCAAGACCCGGCACCTGGCCCTCAACCTGCAGGTGGGACACGGATTTGGGGCTAAAAAAGGAGATTTTGGTTAAAAAATGGGAATTTTTGGGGAAAAAAATCCAAATTTCAGCGTTAAAATGTGAATTTTGGGGGAAATCCCCTCATGAAATGTTCCCAAAGGGACCTGGAGCAGACCAAGACCCGGCACCTGGCCCTGAACCTGCAGGTGGGACACGGATTTGGGGCTAAAAATGGAGATTTTGGTAAAAAAATCCCAAATTCAGGGGCAAAAAATCCCAATTTCAGGGAAAAAAATCTGATTTTTGGGGACAAAAATGTGAATTTTGGGGGAAATTCCCTCATGAAATATTCCCAAAGGGACCTGGAACTGAACCTGCAGGTGAGACTCAGATTTGGCGGGAAAAATGGGATTTTGGTAAAAAAAATCTGAATTTGTGGAAAAAAAATCCAAATTTCAGGGCAAAAATGTGATTTTTTGGTAAAAAAATGTGAATTTGGGGAAAAAAATCCAAATTTCAGGGTTAAAATGGAATTTTGGGGAAATTCCCTCATGAAATGTTCCCAAAGTGACCTGGAGCAGACCAAGATCCTCACCTGGCACTGAACCTGCAGGTGGGACACGGATTTGGGGCTAAAAAAGGAGATTTTGGTAAAAAAATGGGAATTTTTGGGGGAAAAAATGTGAATTTTGGGGACAAAAATGTGAATTTTGGGGGAAAAAAAAAGTGAATTTTGGGGGAAATTCCCTCATGAAATGTTCTCAAAGGGACCTGGAACTGAACCTGAAGGTGAGATTCAGATTTGGCGGGAAAAAAGGGATTTTGGTTTAAAAACCCTGAATTGAGGAAAATATCCACATTTCAGGGCAAAAATGTGATTTTTGGGACAAAAATCTGAATTTTTTGGGGGAAAAAAATGTGAATTTTGGGGGAAATCCCCTCATGAAATGTTCCCAAAGGGACCTGGAGCAGACCAAGACCCGGCACCTGGCACTGAACCTGCAGGTGGGACACGGATTTGGGGCTAAAAAAGGGGGATTTTGGTAAAAAAAATCCAATTTCAGGGGCAAAAATCCCAATTTCAGGGAAAAAAAATCTGATTTTTGGGAAGAAAAATCAGAATTTTGGGGGAAATCCCCTCATGAAATGTTCCCAAAGGGACCTGGAACTGAACCTGCAGGTGAGATTCGGATCTGGGGGGAAAAAAGGGATTTTGGTAAAAAAAAATCTGAATTTGAGGGAAAAATATCCACATTTCAGGGCAAAAAATGTGATTTTTTGGGGGAAAACTCTGAATTTTGGGGGAAAAAATCTGAATTTTGGGGGAAATTCCCTCATGAAATGTTCCCAAAGTGACCTGGAGCAGACCAAGACCCGGCACCTGGCCCTGAACCTGCAGGTGGGGCACTGATTTGGGGCTAAAAATGGAGATTTTGGTTAAAAAATGGAATTTTAGGAAAAAAATCTGATTTTTTTGGGACAAAAATGTGAATTTTGGGGAAAAAAAATGTGAATTTTGGGGAAATCCCCTCATGAAATGTTCCCAAAGGGACCTGGAGCAGACCAAGACCCGGCACCTGGCCCTCAACCTGCAGGTGGGACACAGATTTGGGGCTAAAAATGGAGATTTTGGTTAAAAAAATCCCAATTTTGGGGAAAAAATCCCAATTTCAGGGAAAAAATCTGATTTTTGGGGACAAAATGTGAATTTTGGGGGAAATCCCCTCATGAAATGTTCCCAAAGGGACCTGGAGCAGACCAAGATCCTCACCTGGCCCTGAACCTGCAGGTGGGACACGGATTTGGGGCTAAAAAAGGAGATTTTGGTTTAAGAAATCCAAATTTCTGGGAAAAAACAGGATTTTTTTGGGACAAAAATGTGAATTTTTTGGGACAAAAATCTGAATTTTGGGGAAAATTCCCTCATGAAATGTTCCCAAAGGCACATGGAACTGAACCTGCAGGTAGGACATGGATTTGGGGCTAAAAAAGGAGATTTTGGTTAAAAAATGGGAATTTTAGGGAAAAAATCTGATTTTTTTTGGGACAAAAATGTGAATTTTGGGAAAAAAAATGTGAATTTTGGGGGAAATTCCCTCATGAAATATTCTCAGTGACCTGGAACTGAACCTGCAGGTGGGACAGGGATTTGGGGCTAAAAATGGAGATTTTGGTTAAAAAATGGGAATTTTAGGGAAAAATCTGATTTTTTTGGGACAAAAATGTGAATTTTGGGGAAAAAAAACGTGAATTTTGGGGGAAATCCCCTCATGAAATGTTCCCAAAGGGACCTGGAGCAGACCAAGACCCGGCACCTGGCCCTCAACCTGCAGGTGGGACACGGATTTGGGGCTAAAAAATGGGGATTTTGGTTAAAAATGGGAATTTTTGGGAAAAAATGTGAATTTTGGGGAAAAAAATCTGAATTTGGGGGGAAATCCCCTCATGAAATGTTCCCAAAGTGACCTGGAGTGGACCAAGACCCGGCACCTGGCCCTCAACCTGCAGGTGGGACACAGATTTGGGGCTAAAAATGGAGATTTTGGTTAAAAAAATCCCAATTTTGGGGAAAAAATCCCAATTTCAGGGAAAAAATCT